GTTTAATAATATATAATTGGATAATAATATTAATGTTCGATTAAGTTAAATAAACCCGACGAAGGAGGATTACATAAGTTAATAAAAAAAATACGAATATCAAATAAATCTTTAATTGATAATTAGTAAAAAAAAAGTAATAAAAAAGTAATAAAAAAAATTAATCAATTAAAGTGTATGGCATACTCTCTGGTATAGAAAAATCTAAATTGATCTAGAAGTCCTAGAAGATTTTCATTATCTATTATTAATACCTGAGCGTCTGCTATTAAATAATCCAAATATTTGAGCAACGTAACATCGTAATTGAATTCGTTAATAAATGAGACGCGTCTCAACCAAATGGCAATAGCATGAATTAGACTATCACCTTCAGGAGACAAATTGGTTGATGATAAACTTTTGATAACGTTTGATATTTTCTCGGATAAATCTTTTAAAACGTTTTTTATGTAGGGGGAAGAATTCATAATGTTGATAATATTGTTAATTTTCAGTGCTTTAAATACGTTTGAATACGTGTTGTTTAGTAATAGTTTTGTCTGTTTGGTGACGTGTATTGTCTGTTCGCGTTGAGTTATGCCTGTTTGTGTCTGTTTATGACGTTTTTATTTATGGTGATGAATTTGTTGTATATTTAAACTGGAATATTTTTTTTAACTATAAAAATGAGTATTCCTGTTGATGACCGTGTTGAAGCATGTAATATTAGTGATTTAAGTGTTAAAGAACTTTCTAGTTATTTCATTGATTTAGACGGTATAGAGGATTTATGTGAGGATTTAAAAAACTTATATGAAAAGGAACAGTGTTCTACTTTAGGCGATGAGAAATATCTGCGAATTTTAGAAAAGGAAGCCGAGCTTGTTGAGGATATTGCTATTACTTCTATGAACTTTGTACGGGATTATGGTAAAATATTAACAGTGATGAGACACTGTTCCCAAAAACAACGTGATGAAACTAAACCGAAGAAAAATAATTGAATCTCTTTTAATTAATATTTATTCTATAAATTTGAGAAATAATTCTGCTATTATAATGCAGATAATTAGTATGAGTAAAACGAATGAAGCTGCTATTGAGAAACAAATTCTTAATAATAGTTTCGGTTTTTTATCTAATGAAGCGGTTGTTGGCGATTCTTCTGTGTTTTTCATTGTGTAAATATCAAATGATAATAATTAGTTAATTAGACTGTTTCAGTTTTTCTTCTATTATATTCGAATAAAACATATAATATACGTCGTTTAAGCTAAACAGATCTTCCTTCTTTTTATATTGTTCTAATTCTACTGTTCTTCCCCTCTTCTTGATTCTTTTAAATTGAGTGTCTGTATCTCCGCAGAACAAGAATACGTATAAATCTCTTTCCATAATTCCTAACATGGCTGGATGTATATAAGTATTAATAATTGCTTCTTGTATTATTTCAATTGACAATCTTGATGTATCTACGTTTAACACCGCGACGCTTTTATCTCTGATGTTTGGTATGCTGTACCTTCTGCACATTTGTTTCATTCTTAAATCGAGTTGGCTTCTTTCTTTGACTGACAGTGAATCGTTGTTTTTACAAAATATTTCTAGTGATTCAATTGGGTGTCTGACCCATAAAACAAAATCCGCTTCTTCGTATAATTCGGAATTTAATTGTTTTTCGTAACAATCGAGGACGTATTGTTGAAACTCGTAATTGCTAATAAGTCGATTATGTAAATGATGCAACTTGATTTCGCCTCCTTTATCGTAATTGATAAATTCTTTAATAACGACAGTGTGTGAATAAAAATCCATATATTCGAGTATTAAATTGACTAATGTGGTTTTACCCGTTCCTATACTTCCTCCAATGAAAAAGTGTTGCTTTCCGAAATTGTATTGTAATACTTGGTCGTTGTTGATACTATTTTCATAATTTGTATTGTTATTATTATTGTCCATTAAACAATTAATCATTTTTAGTTTGTTTATTAATAACGTATTACGTTGTAATACGTATTAATTGATAGGACATTCGTATTTTTATGTATAATATTTAATATTTTTATTATTATAATTTTTATTACGAACCGTCATTGATATGCCGTTTCTATTTTCTTTTCTTTTGTTTATTCGTTTTGTATGTTTCTTTGCTTCTTCATGCTTCTATGTTGCATTTTTTTTCTTAATTCTCGTTTCTATTCTTCATTGGTATGATGTTTATCATTTTCTTGACTTTTCGATGACTTTTGTATGTTTATTCGACTTCTTTATGTTTCTATGTTACATTTTCTTCTTATTTCTGCACATTTGTTTCACCCTAATTCCTCAACAATTGAAAAATTTGAATGTTATTTTCAACCCTGCCACATGGACATTACTATATATACTGGGGTCAGTGATCTAATAATTCAGTTGCGCTGACTTTTGTGTTATACGCCACTACAATATTATATTGAACGTTTATGTTATTCTTTTTTGTTATTTATTATTTTGACTTCATATTTACTATTTAGTGTTTCTTTATTTTTCTCATAATTTTACGTTATTCAACACACTTTAGTCAGTGAATGT